TTGTTATTCCTGACTTTGCATGCGTGCATCTTGGGGGCCTTAATGTGTGCGGGTAATTACGGCTGAAGGACCCGCGCTTTCGTCAGGGGGCGCGCGCCGCTCGAAGCCCCTTGAGGTGGCTATCAATTAAAAGCACACTCTTTAACACCTTTCCGAGGCTTCACCTTCAAGCTAAACTACAAGCAATCGATCAATATGAATTACAAAAGTGAAGCGCTTTGGGCGTGGCGGCGTATGTATTTGCCCCGCATTATGCATTGCTTGGAAGCGGCTGCAGCTCTTCAGGATTAAGTAGCGCTTCCCAAGGGCACCTTGTAGATTCAATTTGGGATTAAAAAAAAAACGGAGTTGTTGTAAGAAAGCGATCCGGGGATGCGACACAGTGGGCAGCTTCACAGCCTCCTCATCCTCCCCCCCCGCCGAGCCCTCCTGACCATTAGCCCTCGGCCACCTCGCTGCGGGAGCAGCATTGCGGTTGGGAGCACTTTGTCAAAGTCACCCACCGCCACGGACTCGGGCGCGTGCCGCAAATGGTACTAATTAGTAAAGTCGCGCTCATCAGGCAAGCACTCGGAGGCCCGCCCACTCGGTGTGTCGACACCCGCTATTGACAAATTGTTGAAAAGTAGCGATGCTCGCCGCAGAAATGGCCACGCATGTGCTGCTGCCCAAAGAGGAAATTAATTACGGGCTTCTGCATGGCAGTATATACGGTGCCATGAAAATATTCTCTGAGAAATTGGGATGGCTGAGCTGATTGGCCGCCACGAGACGGGGGCTGATGACAACAAGTCGACTCAAAACCCGAACGGACATGAAACAAGCTACAAGAAAACAAGACGCAACTAGATGTATTCCAAACAAAACACAAGTCCACGTACAGATCATGAAACTCCATTCCCAATTCCGAAAACAATATTGCCTCGTCCGTGACCTTTTTGTCATTGAGCCCGTGGTTGCTGTGGTAACGCTCATCTATGGCTAACATCTATATGTCACATTGTCATTGACATTCCACGGTCGCCGCCTCCCAAATCGCTCGTGTCACCCCCACCCAAACTGCACGCGTACAGGGGCTTAAGGCCGGGATATAGCCGAATATAAAACTTATCTGCTATCTCCCGCGTGGACAAGATTGCCTCCCAGTCTTGTTAACGGCACGCAATCACCGGCCGTTAAATCTTTGCAACGATCCACTGCCGCTATGAGTAAAGAATGGGCTTGACCGAATGGAAAAACATGGCGCCGGTGACAAGGATGCAAGAAGGCGAATGGCGACTTGATGCGTTGCGTGGAAATCGCGTGCTCATTGGTGTCGGGAACGCATTCCCATAACCTGAGTCTATTATGAGGGCGGGGTTTTTTTTTTTTTTTTTTTTTGCCTTTATTACCACACACACACTTGATGCCTTTCTCACAAAGACAAAGCGATTACAAAACACAAGGAAATGCAACAATTTCCCAATTAAAGACTGCCACGCTAATTTGCAGTAGGTGGTACAAACATTAAACCCTTGCTGTCTCACACACAAGGGCCAATTAGTTGGCCATTTTCATGCCAAACGAAAGAGTTTTGATGACGGAGGCCGGTCAGAAGTCTTGAGCAGAAAAAAAGAAAATAGCAAAGGCAAAAGCTGTGAGATTTCTCTGATCATGATGTAAAATGATAACAGAACGAAGGATCAACAAACTCCAAAAATCCAAACCAACCCTGTCGTGATCAAAAATGCGGATTTGCAATTTAAAAAAAAATGCAGTGCTAATTGGATTTCGCACATGCAACTTTTGGTATGCGCAGACATGGGCTAATTAGTCTGGCATTTTCTTGCCAAATTAGCTTTTCTTATAAACTTAAACCGTTAAAAAAGGACCTAAAATTTTTCTCTGCAGGCTGATAGGAAGTGTCCACCGGCCTGGTGGTGACAACTAAACCTAAAAAAAAAAAAAAAAAAAAAAAGGCCAATTTTTACTCCGCAGGTTCGTAAGTAGCTTCCACCAGACTTGTCGTGCCAACTTTGTTGTACCTCCATGAAGATGAGGTCAACACATCCCAATATTCCCCTCGGTAACTAAAAACATCATAAAGAAACTTCTGGAAAGCCATAAAAATCCTGGAACAACTCTGGGCAGGACGCCACCCCCTTGATAGATAACTTACAGTCCCATCCTTCCACCCCCGCCCCCTTTTTCTTTTTTTTAAATAGCGAACAGCAGAAGAAGTCAAGGCATTAACACTCGTGTAATGCGGCACACTATCACAATAGCCAATCAGCTTCTTGTTGGGTGGAAAGAGAGCCAAGCTTAATCAGTGGCGGTCGGCTTGCGAGGAAGCCCGGGATGTTGGCTCCGGCCCAAACGCAGTATCTGGGTGCACATTAAAGTGTGTGTGTGTGCGCGTGTGTGAGAGAGTGTGCTTGACAAGTTAATAAAGCAAGAGATTGTTCTCCAGAAAGAGCGTTAACAAGCTACACTGAGCAATTTTCCACAATCCTCACTGGCCACTTGATTAGGTCCAACCGCCTAACCTCCTAACACCTGATAAAAGAAGTTTATTTAAAAAAAAAAAAAAAAAAAAAAACAGAAAAGAAAATACGGCTTTTTGATTGATGAGACTGTGTGGTTTTCCATCCGCTTATTTTTGTTTGAGATTCGGTCGTGAGCGCGAGCACTTTTCTTTCAGTTGTGTGTTGGAGGTTACCCTGACGGGCTCTCGTATAAACATATGTTTTTAACAAATGAATGCACTTTGCAGATATTGATGACTCACTTTGAAGTGATGCAATAAACCTGAAGGAGGGGGGGGGGCAAAATAAAAATAAAAATAAGCACAGGAAGTCTGCTGGAACATCCCTAGTCTGTCTCGGCACGATCGCTCCTCGTCATGGTGGCCTCATTAGCTCCGACTACAAACGTAAATTTAAAAAAAAAATATATATATATATAAATATATAAGAGATTTTCCTTTTTTGTTTTAAAATTTGACTATATATATATATATAAAAGCTACACTGAATGTTTTTTCTTTTTTTTTTATGGTTTTAGTTTTTAATTCATGAAGTGGTGAGAGCCACAGCAATACAAGGACTTAGTTCCCGCCAGCCAGGCAGTTGCTTGACAACAAAAGACTCCACTAAGGTTCACTGTAAACATCCACCAGCACTGAACATCCTGACTACAAGGGTCACTTCACAGCTGTTGTCAAGGTCCCGGCGCACTCATATCATTAGCGCATCGTCTCACAATTGGGGACCTGTTGTGGAGAAACAGAAGCCTTCGCTGCAGCTTTCATTAGGGAACTTTTTCCATGTTTCGGGGTCACTTTTGGCACATTGTTAAGCTTTGCTACTTGCACAGATTTCTTTTTTTTCTGGGTGGTAAATGTTTGCTCCTTCGAGTTTTTTTTTTCCATGCTGAGAACATTTTCAAGTGACACTGGAACATTCAGAGCTGTCACACGTATAACAACGCCTTAAACGCTGTTTGACGTAGCAAACCAGCTTTGACGCCTTTTGGCCAATTCTCGGGGCTTGAGAATTCCCCAAATTGGCAAAAAAGAAGTCTTCCTGTTTGATTTCAGGCATGCGTTCTTGAAGAAGATTGACATGTCGACCCAGTTTTGTGCCAAACGGTCAGCCTGGTGTCTGGGGCAATTTTGAAACTCCCCCAAAATGGCTGCTTCAAACCAAAATGGCAGACTTCCTGTTCAATTTCAGTCATGAGACTTTTTTTTGTGTGTCATGTCCACCAAATTTCATTTTGATCACTCAATGTGGTTTTCTGGGGCTTGCCGGCTGTCCATGAGGTCCAACTGAGTGACTCGGGGTTTATGCTCGGGTACAAATACAAAACTTCCATTTTCACCAGGACACAAGCGCCCAAAAATGTCGATGAGTTTTCAGGCATGTTGGGGCCTCCCAAAAGTCACTTTATTCGTCAAATTATTAACTGAAAAAGTGGAGAACATGGGCCTCGTGGTGGGATTGTTCATTTTTTGTTAGCAACTCAAGCAACATTTTAAATGATTTGAGAACATGGGCCTCGTGTTGGGATTGTTTATTTTTGTTAGCAACTCAAGCAACATTTTAAATGATTGACAAATTTATTTGTAACACTGTGTAAGGATCAAAAATAAGCACCATAGCATTGAAACAGACATCAGTTAATCATTGTCAGGGTAAACCACAACATGATTTCGCTTGGTGTTTACGTCTTCGGGAGTAAAGAAATTAAATGATCCCTAGCTTGTCGCTAACTAGCTTGATGGTATTCAGCCACACCAGAGACCTTTGTGGAAATGCAGATTGCGGTCGTTGTACATTGTTTGCCCCACATCCATTGAGATTTGTTTGTTGTCCTCCGCCACATATGCGATGATTGCAACGGTTATTTGATTAACGGCTGATTCTTTAATTCCATTAGCGACACTGCTAATTTTGCATCGAAAAACAACACCCTTAATTGAGTATTTGCCACAACGATGTGTTTAATGAGCAGTGTTTTCTTCTCTGCTCCGCACGTCGCATTGCTCGAAGATTACGAGAAATTCGCCTTTTGATCTGCTCCATCAAACCGCCGAGCGGCTGAGAAATGACAACGTAATCGCCCACATTCGGGCGGGAATCTTTAATAAGTGTCGTTTAATGAACGAACGGCAAGTCATTAACTTTGAAAGCAACAGTGATTGCTTTTGAAGGATTAGCGCACTTTCCCTGCATTTTAAAACGGCCGCCGCTAATTTATCGGGAAATGTTGTGGAGATAACATTTGGACTGTCGCAACTCAGGCGTTCATCAAAATGATGAACGTGGAAGGAAGAAAGCAAACAGAAAGGTACTCCCAATTTGTACTTCAGTCGAATTGTGAGTACGTTTTGCCATCTCTGCTCGTGACCGGGAAAGTGTTTGCAGTTTTTGGACCCACAATGGGATGCATTTTTAATATGTCTGTCATGGCAGACATTTTGTGGCCATCGTAACGGAAGACTCTTGGCGTCTTTTCAGGTGTCATCAGGACGGCTTTGCCCAACATGGACCGCGAGACCCGGGACCAGTACGTGCTGGTCATTCAGGCCAAAGACATGGTGGGCCAGATGGGCGGCCTCTCGGGCACCACGTCCGTCACAGTCACGCTCACCGACGTCAACGACAACCCTCCTCGCTTCCCTCACAGTGAGTCACGCTTACGTGTTGCCCCTTAAGACCGGAAGCCGTTTGAAGCAACACTTCGCCAAATCCCACTCGACTGAGTTTGCAGATTCAGTTTTTCCCTATTGAGCCCGTGATGGATTTTAACACACCCATGGAAAAAAAAGCCACTTAAAAAAAAAACGGAAGAAATAAACCTCCTAAAATGGGGTATTGTTAATGTTAATTGAAAGAACGTGCAATAAATCAAGTGATAAAGTGCACTTGAGATAAACTGAGTGGTGAGACATTGGCTCAGCAGCCCTTTCTGACACTTTAAAGCGCCACTTAGCATAATTGTTACTTTTGTTTCAGATACTTTTAAGTACATTTGGCTCACTAGATGTACATTTGCCCTTACGAAGAATATTGCTTGATTTATTGATGCACGTTTTTTTTTTGTTGTTGGCATCAGTCCACTTAAACCCAGCAAGGCAACTGACTATACTAGTAGATACAAAAATATTGGAATGATGAGCAAATGTAAAAGTAATTTTGAAGTCGTTTCAGTATGTATATCTTTGGTACGGAACCAAATCTCGCAGCATTGCACACCACAACTTTGCTCTGCTGATCCGCGAACCGCAAACGACCTCACCTTGCTCTCGCCTTCACGAGCAGCAAATTAAAAAGCGGCCTTCTTGCGAGGTGTGCAGTCTCCCTCCTTCATTCCTCATCCCAACCACGGAAAGCTTTGGCGTCGGATAACTCTGATCAATCCGATTGCATTTTTTTTTTTTTTTTGAAGTCATTGTTGTTGTTGTGGGTTTATTTCCTGCCGTGCTAATGGCTTCCTGGCTCAGCTGTAGGATTCAAAGATGTCCGGGGCTTCTTGTGATAATCCAGAGCTCTAGCAATCAGTTTAGCCCCCCTCTTCCAACATCCCCACCGCCCGCCCTGTGGCTCGGCGCTCTCGGACTGCCGCGCGCTAGCCAGTCAATTTGCTGCCTCCCGGGCCGAGCGAGCGAGCGCATGGAGATGCTGAAGGTTGTACAACAACTTATCAATGCATCTTAAATCCCAGACGCGGCCGTCTTTCCCGGGTGATAAACACTCGAGGAAGTTCTTCCATTTGATTCCCGTAGACCTCGCCCGGTTAGGGTTCGTCGTGGCTATGCCAAAAGTTTTTAATTGGATTTTGCCCAGGAAGTTGCTGCTTTGTACCCCAATGGCCAATTTCCTGACGGATTTCAAATAGGAGTCCTTGAGACTTGAAATGGACATCGGCAGACTTCTTGTTTAGTTTGGGGCACGAATCTTTGAGACATTTGCGTGTGCTCATGTGGGCGATGAAACTGGTGTCTCGGGTTGATTTTTTTCTTTTTTTCTTTCCTTTCCTCGCCAGGTCAGGGCTCACAGTCGATTAGGGAGCATTAGACACCCGTAGTGGTCCTCCGAGGGAACCCGGACTGGATCCTGGGTGGGGGAAAGGTGGAAAAGGTGGAGGCACAAATTGGAATGTTTTTTTTTTTTTTTTCGCCCGCTCACCTTTTTAAGAGCCGCTATTCCACGGCAAATTAAAAAGCCATTATACAGATTACATGGCAGCAAACAATGTGAGGCAGATTAGCATTTAGACGGCCGGCGGAGGGGGACACTGTCAGGAACACAGAAAGGTCTCGTAATGAGCTCTGTCACGCCGATTGGGGAGGAGATTATGATTATGAATATGATTCCCTTCTTTATTCTTGGGAGACTACTTCAAATCCAGAAGAGTCGCACAAAAGCTTGGGGAAACACAATGGGAGAGCCGCGAAGTAATAGAATCTTGTAAAGTGGACACTCGGGTCTGAGTGGACCAAAGGACCCAAAATGGAGTCGAGCTTCCGTTTTAGGACCAGAGAAATGGGAAGGCTGCTCATTCTGGAAAAAAAAACAACAACAAAAAAACGCAGTTCAGCCACACCATTTCGACCCGTAGAATGCATTTTAGGATTGGGCAAGACTTGCATTTCCAACTTCCGCTTGACTTTTGAGACGAGGGCTGCACAAATAATTGAATTTTAATCACGATCGCGATTTGGATCGCCGCGATTTAATGAAACTGATCGTGGTGATCGTCCTCTTTCAAATGCACGCTCTATTGCATATCTAATCAACTGTTGGACTAATGAGAGCGAATCATGTCCAAAGAAAGGACGGCAAAAAATTGGAGATGAGTTGCTAGTGCCTTGAAAGAGTTCAGCATCCATTGTCCGGACTTTGTGATTGCACTTTGTAATAGCGTACATATTAAGTGAGCATTCTGTGAATCGTAAATTCTTTTGTTTCTCGCAGCGATTTATTTTTCATTTTGCAGTGAAAAGTGTTGACATGCTGTTTGTTGAAATGTAGTGTGTGGTCGCTTGTGACTCCGAAATTGATGAAAGTGCCAGTAATTGGGTTGATCATTTTGGCCAGATTTCTGCAGCCCAGCTGGAGACGGAATTTTCCTGCTGTGCAACCAAGACCTTGAATTTCATGACAAATTGTTGAGTTGGTTGGGACCCATTAGTGTGTTTAAAAGCTTTGTATAAAAATGACAACATATCCCGCTGTAATAGCGCTGAGAGGGGTGGGCAAAGCTTTGAGCTCAGGTGCTTTGATTTTGAAAACCGACAGGTTTCTCTTGTGAATCACCCAGCGCGCATTCATGTGGAAATGCGTTTTTCCAAAGCCTCTAAGCAGCTGATTAGAGGTTTTAGTCCAAAATTGTGCCTCCATACCGGGTTGATTATGTAAATAACATCTTGTCACTATGGCAACCAAGATGCTTTAAATATTTACCGCCTACATAAATAAAGAAACGGCCCCAATTACTCTGTTTGTTGGCCTCCGCTTAAGTCCACAGACTCTTTCACTTGCCGCGAAGGAATTTGGCCATCACCTCCCAAATTACAGTCGTCCGCCAAATCGGCCACGGTCGCCGAATGACCTAGCTTCCTACTTTTCTTCCCAGAGGTCAACCAGTACACCGTCCTGGAGTCGCTTCCCGTGCAGTCAGTGGTGGCCCGGATCAAGGCGGCCGACGCCGACGTGGGCCCCAATGCCGAGATGGACTACCGGATCATGGATGGCGAAGGGCCCGGCATCTTCAACATCACCACCGACGAGAACACGCAGGAAGGAGTCCTTCTCCTTTTAAAGGTGCTGCCGGGTTGCCCAAATGGGGCCTAATCCTCTATTTTGGTCGGCTACGGCTCATTTCCAAATCCTCTGAAATTGTCTCCGCGCTGACGTGACAGACAGACAGCAGCGAGCGGTGTCATGCCGGGCCAATTTGATCTTTTTGTTTGATTTGTTGTTGCAAGGCAATTATACAGACGCGCCGATGAAAGTGTCAAATCGACGCTGTGGCGCGCTTTATTAAACAGCGCAATGAGCGGTTCAATGCCGCCAAAGTGAAATGACTAAATCTTTTCAACAGCCCTCATTTTAAAGTGATCGTCAGCCCCGTTTTGCCCGCGCCGCTCGATAATATTGCCCTCGTGACGGACGACGGCTGGAAACCATGAGCAAAGTCTTTGCGGTAACTTTGTAGTAATGCCTTCGCAGTATGAAATTCTCCATTCCAACACCCCCCTCCTGTTCCCCCCCCCCCGCCCCCCCATCCCCTTGACAGCCTCTGGACTTCGAAAGCAAGAGCAGCTTCTCTCTGCGGGTCGAGGCCACCAACAGGAACATCGACTCCAACTTCCTGAACTTGGGCCCGTTCAGCGACACCACCTCACTCAAGGTGACCGTGGCGGACGTAGACGAGGTGCCCGTCTTCGCCTCGCCTCTCAGCAGGATGTCCGTCTCCGAGGACGCCCGGGTGGGCACGTCCATCGGGAGGGTGTCGGCGCACGACCCGGACACCTCCAACAGCGGCATCCGGTACTGACGTAGACTGATGTGTTTGTTTTTTTTTTCTCCGTATTTTCCGGACTATAAATCGAAGTTTTTTTCATAGTTTGGCCGGGGGTGCGATTTATACTCTGGAGCGATTTATATGTGAAATAATTAACACGTTCTGTCATTTGACATGTTATTTTCACATTAAACCGCAAGAGGGAGCTCTAGGCCTGTGTTGATGCTTTCCATATTGACAAAAAAAAAAAAAAAAACTACGATGACTCTGACGTCAGCGAAGTAGAAGAGGAAGCACCGCCTTTTCTACCTCCGAAGTTGGCAGAGTTGCGTAAAAGTGACATCGAGGATGAAGATTTCATTGGATTTCTTGATTCGGTGTGACACTGATGGTTTGGTAAACTTGTTAGCATGATCATTATGGTACAGTTATCTGAATAACTCTTAATATGTTACGTGAACATACCGGGCACATTCTCAGTTCATTGTTTATGCGTCATGTACCGTTAGCATATCGTACTCGTATTCGGCCTGTTGTTTTATTTTTATTTGCCTTCAAAGATGACGTGTCTGTTCTTGGTGTTGGATTTTAACACATAAATTTCCCCCCAAAACGCGACTTATACTCCAGTGCGACTTATGTATGTTTTTTTTTGTTCTTTATTATGCATTTTATGGCTGGTGCGACTTACGGTAGTCATCAAAGTGATCACAATGAAAAGCTCACCAGCATGCCGTCGCCGTTCTTAAACAAACAGAGGCGAGAGTCTTAGTGCCCCGGGGAAAGTCCCCACGTAAGCTGTCGCGAGCGTCGCCAGATGGCACCGTGCACGAGCGGGTGTGTGTGTGTGTGTGTGTGTGTGTGTGTGTGTGTGTGTGTGTGTGTGTGCGTGTGCGTGCGTGTGCGCACGTGTGTGAGGGGATGCAGCATCTGCAAAACTGAAATGCCATCTTCGAGCCGAAAAAGGGCATTCCTTCAGTCGGGTCGAGGCTGAACACGGTGGCCTTTTGCCTTGCAAACACATCGTCATGTTGCCAATCTGTCGGGTGTCGCACCAGTGCGCCCCCCCCCCCCCAAGTCTTGCCTCCCCTCACTTTGCATGAATTGAATGAATTTAATCGATGCCCCGTCACGATTGTTGCTAACCCACCTCAGAAAATCAAATTACTGCAGCGTTGTAGCTTCTAAGTACTTCTTTTTTTCCGTTATTATCAGCGCCCGTGATATGATTTCTCCCCCACGTCAGTCGAAATGAAAATTGTTGCGGAACTAATGGCACAATCAAATTATTTTCCCATCCTACCATATGGGTGGAGGCTAATTGAAGTTGTTGTGTTCTCATCCAAAATGTGTACTCAGACGCATGACGTCGCCATTATCAGCGCGTATTGATTCGGTTTGTTTTTTGTGCATTGCCTTTGTCCAAGTTGATCGACGTTTGTGCCGTTGCCTTCCGCGTGCGCAGGTACTCCATCGACCGCAACACGGACATGGAGCGCTTCTTCAACGTCGACGCGTTGAGCGGCGTCATCAGCACGGCCAAGCAGCTGGACCGCGAGGCCAACTCGGTGCACAACCTCACCATCCTCGCCATCGAAAGTCGTGAGTTGGTTGACACAGCCGACCAATCGAACCACCTTTCAGCATTCCTTCCATTGCTTCCTCCTTGTCCTCCAACAGTGCTAAGCTTTCAGATTTTTTTATTCCCTTTCTTGTGCCTGGGCTCTTTATAACGAAGCGCAATTGGGGGCATGGAAATTGTGACACAGCGGCACTCCATAAAGATTTTGTAGCGCGGTCGTTTGTTGGGGATGTCAGTGAATATTAGTTCACACGTGAGGGCGGTCACTCTGACCTCAGCCTGGGGGTGACACGCTGACTCAGCGTGGTGGCGCTCATGTTAATGTGGCCAAAAGCCGCATGCTTGCTTTCTTGTGTGTGTGTGTGTGTGTGTGTGTGTGTGTGTGTGTGTGTGTGTGTGTGTGTTTTTTTATTATTATTTTAATCTCGTCCAAATGGCACGGCACTCCAAAGTTTCCTTGCTACTGTGTCGCTTTTCAAAGTGGGTTTTTTTTTTTTTTTGTTTTTTTATGATGACATTGCGCAACGCGGTGGCACTCGGACGCAGTTTGCACGTGAGGACCTGGCATCCGCCGGCCTCCATGTGAGCACAGATGCTTGCGTCCAAGACCAGTCTGCGGCCCCGGGGCGCCGCGCGTCCTTTTTCTGTCGCCGCCGCATCAGCCCTCGGAATGTCAGCGCATCATCTCGGGCCAGCCGTGCAGCCCCGCCAAGCCCAATTATCGTCTGGCGCAGCCCCGGCCAGAGACGTTTAGGCGTTGGTGCGTGAAGTCGCAAGCCAGCCCGACAAAACTTGCGCCTTGTTGGAAGCTCGCTACCTGTTTGTCAAGCATCTGATGTGTGCCAAGTGGTGGCTGTATTCATGAATCCTTGTTGTGCTCATAAAAGGCAGACGGTCCTTTTTGTTTGCCTTTCAGAGGACCCGAACCAAATTGGCAAAGGCACGGCCATCATCAACGTGCTGGACGTCAATGACAATGCGCCCGTCTTCGCCATCGACTACGAGAGCCTCGTGTGTGAAAACGCGCTGCCGGGCACGGTACGTCCCCCCCCACCCCCACCCGCCCTCAATCAGCCTCTTCAAACGACCGAAGGCCAGGTCAGGCGGCACCCGTCATTGGCGTAATGGCGGCTGTCATTCCGCTTGGTTTGTGATGCTGCTTTCATTCGGTGCAGTCAACTGGCGGTGATGTGGCGGTTGACTTTTTGCCAGAATACGATTGGCAGGCTTTCACGCCAGGCTTTACTTTCTGGGGCAAATGCTCTGTAAAACAAAGTCCAAATATAAACACATATTAATACACATCCTGTACCTTGATGGACGGATGATTGATAGATATGTCTGAATAGCTATGAATAGACGGATCAATGGTACAACTACATCCTGGAAGCATTTTTCTGACAGACGGAAAGGCTTCGAGACAGATAAAAGTTTGGATGGATGTGTAAAAACTTTTTCTTCCGTCTTAACTTGCTGTAGGTGGCACGTGTCCCAATACTTTTGTCCACCTTGCCACAAAGCGACGCGCCAGTGAGGGTCGACGCCTTTCCGCCGCGTGTTAGCATTTGGCCCGACTCTTGCTAAATGACCCGTGCGGCCGTCGTGCTGATTTATCCCGCGGCGGCTTTTGGAGAAGGCAATCGGGCGGCCGTTAACGGCGGCGTGCAATTGATCAGAGTGACGGGCTGCATCGGAGATGGCCATTAGGGCCTTTTTGAAGATGTTATTTGTGCCCGCGTAGCGCACTTGCTGACGCTGAGATGTGGGCGGTTAAAAAAAAAAACGAAAAAAAGGAAGGGGGGGGGATTTAATTCGTATGCAGGAGAGTCTGTTCTGGTTTGGAAATCTTTTCCTGCCGCACTACCAGTTGTTTTGTTCAATTCTTTCACTGGTAAAGATCATTAAAAAAAAAACAACCAAAAAAAAAACAAAGCCGATAAGTGCAGTTGAAGCTAGAATTAAATTGTTTTATCCACACGTCACCCTCAGGATGAAGAGTATTTATTAGAGTAAACATTGCGTCTTCATTAGCCGCCGCCGTTATCGACAAAAGCTGCCGCTGCCGGATGATTATCGTCCTTTCCACTTGTCTGCCGATCATTATTGCCCAACGAGAGCAGCAGCAGCAGCTTTCTATCAGCCATCAATCTCACGCCAGCGCCCCGGTTCGATACGCGCTTTGTGTATTCCTCCCTCAGCGGCGGCGCCGCGATTTATGCCTGACGCGAGTCTGACTGCGCTGATGTGGAGTCATCCGCTGACAATCAAAGCGGGCCGCGGGCCGCAATGGCGACCCGAAAAGCCGTGACGGCATCATCGGCCCAACTGGAATGACGGTTGCTCCAGCGGCCTTACCAAAAACCGCGTTGCGTTTGTGTTCTTTTAATGTGGAAATGACCATCGAAATCCCCTTGACGACTTTAGCTACTAAAAATGTTGATCCAGTCAAGATTTTTTTTTTCTTAGTGTGGCTCAAATCTGTGTTCGGTATCGAAAGGGGCGCCAATGAAGACCGAGCATTCCATTGTGTAGCTCCATTGACCAGATTTCTGTGACTCCATCCATCCATTTTCCGATCCGCTTATCCTCGCAAGGGTCGCGGGGGGCTGCTGGAGCCTATCCCAGCCGTCTTCGGGCAGTAGGCGGGGGGACACCCTGAACCAGCCAATCGCAGGGCACACAGAGACGAACAACCATGCGCGCTCACAATCACACCTGGGGACAATTTAAAATGTTCAATCAGCCTGCCATGCACGTTTTTGGACGTACATGTCTTTGACGTACACGAGCGGTGCGGTTTTCACCTGCACGCTGCGAGAAACATAAACCCAAGGCTCGTGGAAGGTTATTTGTCGGTATGATTTGAATCGGACAAAGACGAGGCGTCGGTTCCCGGCAGTTGCGCTCGGCTTTCGGTGCTGGGGGATGCGTGCAATAAAAGAGATTTCATGATGAAATGTTCGCGCCGAGACACATCCAGGGCGCTAGGGAAGTGGGAGTAGCTGACATTTAAATAGGAGAACAGCGTTTGAATTACAACTAGCTGCTACCTGCTCCAGGACCAAATGCCGCCGCTGCCGGTGGTGGTGGACTGGCACCGTGTCAGACTCCTGATTTCTAATTAATTGAACTGCTCCTTTTTGTGTGTGCGCCGGGCCGCTAATGGCCGTGTCCCCTCGCTTAGGCCGCCCACTGGCTGTCACGCCCGCTGGCTGCTCCGAAGATGAAATAATATGGCTTGCCAGTGGGCAGCGCGGCGCGGCGCAAGCGCGCGACTGGCGTCGGAATAACCTGCCATCGTTCAGGCCTAATTAAGGCCACCTCGTGGCACCGGCTCCCCGCAGACCGCACTCGCCACTTGTTCCGGATCATCGACGCCGTCTGTCGTCTGCCATCTTTATTAATGGATATTGCGATGGGGGCGATGAGGGCAGGGCCCGGCGGGGGTGGCCGAGGGGTCGGCGGCAACGCGCGCTTTGGTGCGAGCGTTCACATCCATGAGGGCGCTTGGCGTCGCACTCTTCATGCTCCCTCCTGGCCGATCACTCGTAGACTCCACCGAAAGGGGAAGTCGACTCCAAAAAAAGCGCGGTGCCGTATTCGACGATTCTCATCAATGATGAGCGATTTCTTCGGGGAATTTAAATTAGTGCTTGAAAATGATTTTGGGATGGTCTTGTGTTGCGGAATATAAACTGTAACTTGCAACGAAATGGCACATAGGCGGAAATTTTACGTGAGCAGATGCATTGTTTTAGAAGAAATGTTTTGGAGATTGACGTCATCAGCCACAGATGAAAAAATTTCTGTTCTCTGCCGGAGTTTTTGTTTGTATGGCTGTTTTTTTTTTTTTTGTTGCCCCCTGTTTGAAGACGGATATCCCCACTTGCGCTTTTTCAACCTCCACGGATGACGGCACGACGTCGGGAAAATGGCATGAATAGAAGGGAGTCAAGGCAACCACGGTTAAGATTTTGATTGATTGAGATTTGGGGGATTTTTTGTGACCGTGAGAAACTTGAACCAAAAGAGCGTTAATGAGGATGACGCAACGGTCAAAATATCGAGAGTGGTTTGATGTTGTCTGCTCCAAGAATCATACGGCCATTTTTTGGGGGGGTGAGAGAGCAGTCACTTTTTTCTCTTCTCATTACAAGGCGGCGCTAGGCAAGTTAAGAACAGCGGGAAACAGTTCTCAAGTGGTAATTTTTTTTTTTTTCCAACTGTGTCAAAATGGTTCTTGTGCAGAATAAACACGAAAAATTAGCTTTTACTTTTGTACTCAAATACATAGCAGGGTCTGTACTAAGTGAAGGAGTTGAATACCGCTCTTTACCATATATATATATATATATATATATATATTACAGTTCGGAAAAGTGCTTTTGCCACCTCCGCTCAACACGTTCTCTCCGCATGACATCGGAACTTTGTATTTTCGCTCCAGCCAAGCCGCATCACTCGCTAGCGATGACGCCCTCGCGCAACCGTCCAAATTATCACTTCACCCCACAAGGTGAGAGGTGAAAACAAACATGTCGAGGAGCGCGGCAAGCGACGCCACGCGAGCTATAAAAAGACAAATGTCGTCGCGCCGGCTCACGCTCCGCGGGACGCCGGCGCAATGCACATCAAACGAGACGCCGAGCGAGGCCGTCGGGGGCGCCGGCGAGCTGTCAGCGCGCGGCGTCACGGGTGTCACATCTGGGTGATGTTTAGGGCGTGGAAGGCGCGGCGAGGGCTGAGAAACCCGCGGGCCTCGACGCGTCCTCGATCGGCAAACCCCGGTGACAGCTGTCACATCGCCGCGGCGATAAGTGGCACCTATTTGATGCCGCGCGTGTTTATACTCTTTGCTCGACTTTCACGGCGGCGCCTTGATCTTCTCCGCTGCCAAACGGGCCCGAGTGAAGTTTGTCTTTGCTTCAAAGACGCTCGGCTGCGTCTGATAACACACATTAGAATATTCTAACGAGACTGGAGGTGTTTCCTTTTCTTTGCTAATGTCAAAGAAAGGCACTCGGGCGTGTTATCTGTCAGATGAGATGCTCGTGGTTCCCTTCGAAATGCGTGTCAGCTCCCGCAAAGAATGTTGTTGCTTTCTTGGAAACAATTTATTAGGCCTCATTAAACTAGCCGAGCTGCAAGATAATTGGCTTGTGGGGCAGGGGCGAGGGTCGCGATTTCCACGGAGGTGCGCGTGTGTGTCTTCTCAATGTCAAGTCGAGTCAGTTTCACGGAGAGAGCGAGAGAGAGAGAGAGAGAGAGAGAGAGAGAGAGAGAGAGAGAGAGAGCGCCAAATCAGGACAGAAGTTATGGCAAGGCACTTTGACGCACTGAGCGTGAGGAAAAAGGAACGCGGCCGGAAATTGGGTGGCCAAATTGTGGTTGAATCGTGCGTGCGCCACAAGCGGACTGCGTGGAAAACGTCCCACGTTTCACCGGGCCGTACTGGGAGGAGAATGACTAATGTCGGCTGATATTTATTTGCATCATATTCATGAATTCAACCGGTTACCGTTCACGGATGAATGATGACAAGCTCCCTGCGGATGTCACCCCTCGTGTGTTCCCGTGACTCTTTCGGCATGAAAAAAACAACTTGATGTTTTGTCAATGCGCGTTAGCGCGCTAGCGCACCGATTTCAACATGATGGCAAATTGCAGGTGGAGGACAGCCGACAGCTTTTCGAAAGCCGCTTTCTTCTTCCCCGGCAACATTGTGCATCAGTCGCTCCATTGGAAAAAGATTTTGCCTTTCCCGCCCGCTTGGTTTTTAAAAAACGACTGACCCGTTCCTTGCACGCCATGCGTCTGCTGTCGTGACCGAGGCGCGCCCATTTTTCTATCCCCGGATGCTCAAGTCAACATGTTCAGGTTCACATGTTGACGCCGCGCCCACCCCATCGTCCGCGTCAAGCGCATCTTGAACATGAAGTGCGGCGCTGTTCTGGCGTACAAGCGTTAAGTTTGTCCTAATTGGGTGCGAAGGACACACGGGGCGCTTTGGTGCACCGTCGTAACATCAAGGCCAGAGCGGCTGCGGCGGTGTTTAACTTTTTCCCCTCATTAACGTATCCTGTCACTTTTGTCTCGTAAGCGCTCGGCGACACGGAGATGGTGGGGATTAATTAAGGCGAAATGCTCATTCTTCGTGTTTACTTGGTTTGCCGCCTTCCTGTAAATGTCACCAACGTGATGATGTCAACACCGGCGTTGGTCGTGGAGCAAAACGTTAGACTTGTGTTTTTAGCGAGAATGATGCTTTTCCGTTGGTCAAAGCAGGTATGAGCGGGTTCTATTTTTTGGCCTCCTCATCGCCACATAAATGTGGCGATGGTAAGGCTTTCACATACAGGTTTCGAGCCTGGTCAGGGTTTCAAAGTAGGGTTTGGTAACAAGGTCGCAGTTTCAAATTTGGATGCAAGCCAGTGTGTTTCGGCGGTGGTGAAGTGTCAGAAAAGGTTTCATCCGGTGACTGGCCGGCCTCGTCAAATTTGCGTCTCCATCCGCCGCCTTTGCTCTTTCCCCGCTGGGCCCATTAGAGGATTCCTCGGCAAAAAGCGCCTCGCTCGCTCACTTGCTGCGTTGGATCAGAGGCGTGTGCGCTAATGAAAGGCATTATACATTACAAAGTGTTTGATTTAAGTCTTGATTTACAGTCGGGGGCTTTCCCCCGCTGCCGCCTGAGCCATCCTCACCACTCAAAGGACATCAAAAGGTTCAAATTGTGTAGGGGCCGTCACCTCCTCCTCGTTGTGTTATCGGTGTATCGTGCGATCGAG